CCCCGTGCCTCACGATCATTACGGTCCCTGGCAAGGTGTTTCTCGGGCCTCCAGTCGCTCGTTGCTCTGCCTCGTTGAGGCTGCATTCGGACGTCACATTCTATTCCGTTCCAATCGACACCCAAGCGCTAAGCGTTTCGCGCAACCGTCCGCCTCCGAGGACTGCATCATTCTCTCTGCTTTGTGCCCCTCGGGCCGAAAAGTGTGCCTTAGACGATCGATAGTAGTATCTTAGACGTGTCCGAGATCGCTAAGGCAGTAGGATCGCGGGTTCGAGTATCGCCTGGGTATGGATGTATTGTGATCATTATTTCACCCCCTACCATCATCATATCGTATCAACCTCACAATTATACCGTTACAAGCAATAGTGGTCGCTAATGACCTAGAAGTTGATGCGTCCTTAAATGTCTGATGTTTCCGTTCGTTACAAATATTCTTCTCTCTTACCTACTTGTCGTCATTCTTCGTTTGTTCCCATCCGTTTTTCGAGATTCCTCCCACGGATATTTCGAGACCTTCTCAACCACTGTTTCACTATCACGCGTAAACTGCTCTACACAACCTCTTCAGATTTCTCGCCGTTCTTCTCAGTTTACGATCGTGACAGTTCTTGTTCGATTTTACGTGAGATATTGAAAATTAAAGTCTGTTGTTCAGGCTAACTTCACTCCTCTTTCGTTTCAGCGTAAACAATACTATCTAGCGCTATCTGCCCGTTTCCCACACTGCCACGTTCTTGTCGTTTAGTCCTCATTGTTTTCACCGTTGTGTCTCTCCTCCCAGTTCTCATCTGTATTTCCCAGCCTTTACTCTTACCTCTCCATCTGCACGTTAAGTCCGCTCGTTCTCTTGCGTTTCGAGGCCTAAAACTGTTCACCTAGAATTCTTTGAATCTCCTGCGTCTTCTCACACACCTTGTCAACCACTGTTTCACTACCTCGCGTAACCTGCTCTACACAACCTCTTCAGTTCTACTGATACACATTTCTCGATCATGACTGTTCTTGCCGGTATTACGTGAGATATTGAAAATTAAAGTATGTGGTTCAAGTTAACTTCGCTCTTCTTTGTTTCAGCATAGTCTCCACTGTCTTGCGTTACCTGCCCGTTCACCACACTGTCACCTTCCTGTCGTTTAGTCTTCCCTGTCTCCATCATTGTGTTTCTCGTTCCAGTCCTCATCTTTATTTCTCAGCCTTCAGTCTTTCCTCTCCATCTGCACGTAAACTCCAGTCGTTCTCTTCCGTTTCGAAGCCTAAACCTTTTGCGAGAACTGTTCGTCGAGAGTTCGTTGTGACTCTTGCGTCTTCTCGCATCTTGCCTTCATCGTCTGATCATCCTTCTCTGTCCTTGTCATTATTCAGCTCCTGCCGTTCCGATTTATTAGTTATGTTATTCAGGTGTTTCGGACTCCATGTTTTTCTCACCTCCTGCTTATTTATTTTCTTGATTTGTTCGGCTCTGTTGTTCTGGTCCTCATCTTACATGCTATCTCGTGTTCTAGGCCGAGAAAAATGAAAACCCCCAATTTTCACGTGTTAATAAATCGTATATGCATTATAATATTGAAGCATAAAACGCGTAATAACATTAAGTAATTACGTTACATTCAAGTAAGTGATTTGCAAATTCATATCACTTCTTATTTGCTTTCAACATTCATCACGAATATCCGAATTAGATATTTCCGTAGATTATATTCTGATCTCTTTTAATATCACGGCAAATATCTTTACACTTTATTTCTATTCACTCTTTCTGAACAGGAGGCTTCATCTGTATGTTTTCTTCATTATCTCAATTTCTAATTATCATTCCATTGTTCTTTATAATTATCTTCCAGTTTCTTAAGGTAATTTTCCGGTCATAAAAGAACGACGCTTGGGCGAAAGTTGTTTACTTTTTCTGTAGTATAGAATTCATGCCGCCAATTTAAATGTATTTCATGAAATACAACCCAGTTCAGTAAAATAAATGTCTTCTAGTGATCGAATATCCATTTGAATTTTTTTAAAATTTTCATCGTGTTTGTTTTCTTGCATCTGAATTATATTATTTGAGTTTAACGACGATTCAGACAACTTAGATGTCGAAGTAATCTAAAATGTATGAAATTGTAATAGTTTTGGAAGTGTTTTACAGAGAAACTTCGTCCGAATGCCAAGCTTTCTTCAGTGTATTTAAACGCAAATGGTTTCAGGTCCTTTCTTTATTTCCATGTTATCTCTGATACGATATGCATTTGTATTTTGTCATCGCTTCCTTGTTTAGTCCCGTTTTAAAAGATCCATTACGTGAATGCATAATGTATGGACACCACCGTCCCCCTTTGCATATTACAATTTACATTACATTGATATTCATGACCTTCAAAAGAAATACGGATTCTTATTCCATCGGAAAGTACCTTCTTTCCATCTGCTTATCCACAGTTTTAAAGTACTGGAGAAACGCGATCTTTTGCTTAGACGAAGAAAATTTAGCATTTGCAGAGCTAATCATGGGTGTCAAGACACTCAACAAGATCATCAATTGGTACTTACAGTATTGTTCACAAACAAGCTGGATGAGTTTTCATTATTTGATTAGTATGTGGAATCTCAAAAATATTAATGTAAATAAGATACACATCTAAACATAAAAAAGTAATTAATTGCTGGAGCAATAATATTTAAGATTTTTCGGCCATAATTCTGTGACTTTACATGTCTGAAGAATTTTTATAGCGATTTAGCATTACTTCCTACATATTAAGTATTTAAGAAGATCTAATATACAATAGGAAACGTATAATAAAAATGTTATACTACGTAGATATTATTCCCCCCTCTTTTTGGGAATGGTACTCGGCGTAGGTAACGATGCATTTAAAAAATATATTTTGACTTAAAAGAAAGAAAGTGTGTTGCCTGATAAGACGTAGATTCTGCTAATTAATCTATGTTTATTTATTAGCTAAATATATCAGGAGCTAGGTAATGTAGTTATTACTCACGCGGAGTTCACAGTAGACAGCTCTTTTTTGTCATGTTGGTGGATTACAATTTTATGTCCCGATTAATCAGAAGCTGTATGGTACAATTGCCTGAAAATCCAATAAAACGTTCTAGGATGCCAAAGTAAACACTCCACAGAAGCTTTCACGTACTCGTAAAGAAATAATTTTTCGTGTATGTTAAGAAAATAAATTAAGTGAAAGTATAACATCCAAATTACTTGCAGGACGTGCCTTTCTAGATGAGTACATTTGGTGGTAAACCTTTTTTTAAGACAGTCATGAAAGAGAAAGAGACTGAGAACTACTGATTTAAAATTGGTGCAATCACGTTTCTTGAAATTAAATCAATATCTTTTAAATATGTTATAACTTGTCCGCAAAAGGGCGTTAAATTCGTTATTATTAAAACAATACATAAGTGTTCTATATAAGGAAGTAAGTTGATACAAATATTAGTAATTTACTTTGGATTTTACGTGTAATTATTTAGCACCATTAGCCAATAAACTTCACTGAGAAATTGCATTAACATACGTGCATCACATCCGTATATATAACACCCGTATATCAAGCATTTAGATACAATAGAAACCACGTTTAATATCCAGCATTACATAGTTAGCAAGTTTAGAGGATTGTTTTGGTATTGCTTACCGCCGGCACTGGCAGAGATAATGCACTTTTTGCCTTTAGGACTATAATGATAATGATGATGGTGGTGATGATGACGATGGTGGTGATGATCACGATGGTGGTGATGATGACGATGGCAGTGATGATGACGATGGCGGTGATGATGACAAAGGCGGTGATGATGACGATGGCGGTGATGATGACGATGGCGGTGGTGATGACGATGGCGGTGGTGATGACGATGGCGGTGGTGATGACGATGGCGGTGGTGATGATGATGATGATGACGATGTAGGTGATGATGATGATGATGACAATGGCGGTGATGATGATGATGATGATGACGATGGCGGTGATGATGATGATGATGATGACGATGGCGGTGATGATGATGATGATGACGATGGCGGTGATGATGATGATGACGATGGCGGTGATGATGATGACGATGGCGGTGATGATGACGATGGTGATGGTGGTGACGGTGATGGTGGTGGTGACGGTGATGGTGGTGGTGACGGTGATGGTGGACCGTCGTGGAACAGCGGTGCGTGTTCTGGCAGAGCAGCTGCGGGCGCGATCCGAGCGGCGCGGGCGATGCTGTTGGCGCGCCTCATTAGCGCGTGAGGACTTCATTATCCACCGCGAATGGACGCGCTGCGCGGAATGCTGTTTACCGCGCGTTGTGGACTAATATCCGCCACTTCCTAACATATTCAGAGCGCGGCGGGCGGCGCGCGCGGCCAATTGCGGTGCACTTGATCCGCGGTGCTCTGCATTCGCCTCGTGACCGCCCCTGGCTCTAATTCTCCCGCCGGGGATGCGTGTGTTACGAGTACATTTGGGTTCGAAGGTTATGGCACTGCAAGTGAAACTTGCAGACCTCTAGGTCTCGGTTCGAGTCCCGGCGGTAAGGATTTTGGGCACCGGCTAAGTAGCTGGGTTGTCGTCGCTGTTTGGATGTGAATTCTACAGACTGATGAGTTTGATGGATTCTTCTGTTCAATGTCGGATCACTTCCGTAAACAATTACTACTGAAAACAACATATTTATTCTCCTCATTTAGTTTTTTAATTAATGTCTTGTAAGTTTTTAATATATTAGTCGTTTTCGTGTGCAATATGCGCAGTATTAAAAATATTAAAAACAAGATTTTTTTTCATAATGACTCCGTTTTTCTTTAAACGTTTTGTACGCATAGTGCTAAATGCACTGGATGACATACATAAACCCATATTGATATGACGTTATATTTAAAAAAGTTACACAAATATATTTTTATATATCTTTCACGTTATTTATATTTATGTTATAGGTTCTTTTATACCAATAATAAATTGCATTTTCGAGCATAGGCACATTAAATTATATCTTATGAAGTTTTCTGTGACACTCAAACGTTTGTTTTGAAAATGAGCTGAACATTTTTCATTTCCAGAACGCCCAAATGATATTTTCTCACTAACAACTTCAAATTTTTCAATTGAAATTTGCATATAAAAACAGGCTATTTTCTAGATCCATCAGTCTGGATCGCTCACCATAGCAGAATCAAACCAAACTAGTACCAGTATTTTTAACTATTTTATTATTAATTTATTACTTTCCAATTTATTATTATTATTATTATTATTATTATTATTATTATTATTATTGGCCGGGCCAGCTTGGGGGACCACTTTAAATTATTTTTTGTATTTCGTAAAGTTATATGTCTATTGTACTATTTGTGAGTCCAAAAACAGATAGTGTGAAAAAATGTAATATACAAGGTGTGATAAGAAAGTAGTTGGACTGATTTTCGGTAGGCCAAACAAGTCCACGAAAGGGACCATGGTTAGGTGGGTCAGCGGGGTCCCTCACAAATAGAACGCGACCCTTTGCAATAGCCTGCGCGCATTTGAAAAGTGAGTACACTGTTTCCTATGAACCACTGTTAAAAACTATCGTCACTCTCAGCATGGAATCTCGAGCTGCGCTACAGCAGTGAATTTTTTGCTTCTCACTTGAAAAAAAACACGACGGGAACCTTTGATATCATTAAGCAGACCTAGGGGGAGCCCCTCATGAGCTACTCGAGGGAGTTTTAAGACACATAAGTTGTTCAAAAAGGGAAGGAAGCTCATCAAAAATGATCCATGCGCCAGTCGCACATCACGAAACTGTGACAAAAGTGAAACAACGTCTGGACTCTGATCGCTTGTGGTGGTTTTTGATAATCGCGATGTCATTAACAAGGGGTTTGTTCCCCCCGGGCAAACCGTGAATGCACAGCTTTACGCGGAAGTGCTCGATCGCTTGCGAAAGCGAGTTAACCGCGTGCGACCAGGCATCGCCCGTTCCTGGAAGTTTCACCGGGCCACATTGCGCTGTTGGCACGGGAACGGCTGGCCCAGAGAGGAGTTGTCATATCGCCTCTCCCCTCCTACAGCCCAGACGTGGCTCCGCCTGACTTTTCCCTCTTCCCCTCCTGATACGGCCCATGAAGTGGAAATTTTTCGACTATATCGAAGACGTCCATGCGTCAGTAACAAGGATCCTCAACAGCATTCCGGCCAGTGACTTCTAGAACGCATTCGCATATTGGCAGACGCGTTGTACTCGGTATATCGAAGCACAAGGGTCCCACTTGGAATATTAGTAAGAATTTGTACAGATATGTGCAATAAATTATTTTTAATAAATTCAGTCATATTACTTTTTGATCCGACTGTGTATATAGAGATAGACAAAGCGATGTACGAGAGGCGCGAAGGTTCTATTCACTGAAACTGTCCTCAGAGGAGCGAAAGGCACTTGTTTGTATTTTAGGCGCCAATAGATGGCACATGGAGAGAGGATGGGGCAAAACCGAAAAGTCAGCCAAAAGTTAAGAGAATAGGAAACTACATCATACGAGAAAGTCTGTGTCATTCTCATGAAGAACTGTGGGGTAATATCCTATCTAGCAGTAAACACACCTATAGGGTATCATGCCGATTGTTACTTATACATTGTAGAACACCGCATCTTTCTCTTAAAGATGTTAAAGAAGGGATGATGATTCTCATCACAGATAATACCAAAATGTCTTAGTTTAAAACCTTATTTCTAATGGTTTGCTTTATATCATATCAACATTGAGTAATTAACAGTGTGTCTTCTTTTGTTTCAGGTAAACCAGTGTTCCTTTGAAGACTCATCTATGTACATGTGAAAAATATGTATTATTAGCTTCCGGAAAGTAAGTGCACAAAAAAATTTTAAAAATACTTTTTTTTAATTGATTCCCCATTATGGACTGTTATTATAGAAAACTGATGACATTGACTGAAAATTACTTTGTAACGTGTATCCGATGGCCGTTCCTGTGCAAGTGGCTGACTTTCCACGAATTGCTTTGTGTGAGTGGTTTGTTGCAGTTGATATCGACATGTCGATGATTTGACGTCATATAAAATGAAGTAGGTGTGTCGTTAGAGAAGGTCAATTTAGGTAATGTGTTTCATCAATTCTGCACAAGTTGTTACCGCTGGTTAGGTTCAGCTGCGAACGAAGCGAAGCCAAATAGGACAGTGGTTTTCAAAGATGCGTTATCGACTGTAAACTGACATAATGGCTTAAATCATTTAAATCGCATTAATAATTACTCAAAAAACGATTTATTTTGCTTAAGAGTAAAGTACTCGTAACTTACGCAAATGTAATATCATTCTGAAATCTAATGTGTGGGGGATGGTATCACACGTATTTTTGTTCTGTAACTTTGGAATTTAAAATTTCTATAAACATTTTGAAAGGTACGGACTCAATCGCCCAGCAACCTATCTCGGACACATCAATCGTGTATAATTCTAAGGTGAGAATTTTTTTTACAAGTAAAAGGCGGACGAAAAAAAAATCGAGAAAAAGTACAAATTGAATAACTGTAACATTTGATTAATTCAAACAAAAATACCCTAATTATGCTTACGTCCCTTTTGAGTATTTAAATAAAAAAGTATTTTGCCACTTATTTTCCTCCAACTCAATTATTTTCCAACATTTTTACGCTGTCTGCGAAACTACTTTTTTTCCGCGGTACGAGTTGAAACTCCGCTGAATATGGCGGGAATCTCGCCGGTCTGAAACCTAATCGTGCTTTTCCGAACTGTACCATCGCACGGAAGCGTTACTGTTTGGTGAGGCATCTCTTAATATTGATATTACAGATTAGTTTTAAAATATCGAAAAGGAGGACACTTTTCGAGGAACGACAGGAGCTATAAAAGGAGGACTGTTCTCCCTAAAGGAGGACGATTTATCAGCTTAATAATTCAGAAAATGGTGCTAGGACCAGGAAACGTTGTTGAGGACTTTAACGCTTCCAGTTATGTTTCTCAAGCTGCAAAATCTTACATGTCCCATAAGATATCGCATAAGATTTTACTGTTGTTTACATGAAACACACTACATTGAACATGTCGTCCTCATTGAAATTCATAATCAGTTGCTTCACTGAGAACCATATTGATTAATTACACTGGCCTAAAAAAATATTTTTTGTGTAACAAGAACCAAACACTCTTTTCTGGAAGATAATTTGCCTCTCAATTGAGGTGTAATGTCAGAATTTCTGTATCGGCCTAGCTTTCACGTGATGATCATTGTATGCAAATGCGTATGTCTCCCTACGTATTATATGTAATCTGACAAAATGTCACTCTCTAATAACTGCAGATGCAAATGTATACATTAACTACAACAACGTAAGTGTAATGAAATCAGAAAAACTTGATAAAAACTGACAAATTTGATTTTGAGCTGTCTCCAGCAGTGATGTCTTGTTTCTTCATTTCCAATTTTCAGAGTACTGCGCGTTAAATTCTCACTATCTGAACATATGACCACACTGTGCTGATGTAGCAATAAAAGCGATAAAATAATTGTTGACCATATATGCAGCTATAAGGTGAATTTTTTATTAAGTATTTCTACGAGAATTATTATGAAGGTGAGATTGCGTGTTGTCAAGCAGTTTTGAGAAGAGTTTTGGAAGAGTTGGCACAAATATTAGTTGATTTTCAAATGCGATATAATTACTATAATTTTATAAAAACGCTACAAATAATATGAGAATATTTGTAATGTGGTACCAATATCTTTGCTTTTACTATGTTGTTAACTTTGTCATTTTTTGGTTGCATCTTATATTCATTCTAAAATAACATAGCGCTCTTCAAAATTCGTATCACATATCAACCCGATTATAAAGTTCAGCATGCGGCAGTCTTCCATTACTTAACGCATCGCTGAAGCAAAGAAAATATTTTAAAAAGATTAAAAAACGAATAACGTACCCTTTCAGCCAATAATGGATTTTTCGTTCCAAGATTGGTAGCATTGGAAACTCCGATGACATCCCATCTTCCCACACTCAGCCTCCGCCATCGCATCGTCTCGCTCTATTCTGCCACCGCCACTTTCACTTCTGTTGCACCCATCGCCACCGCATTTGTCACACCACCGTACTTACTCCCCCACTGTCACTGTTTTCATGGCGCCTTCTATGCTAACCCTACAGCACCATCGCCAAAACGTCTACCGGTCTTACCACAATCGCAGCCTAAAGACGGCTTCACACCTTCGGCATTCGCCGAGTAGCGAGCTACTGCTCGCCCAATTCCAAGCAGCTGATTTATTCAGCGAATGTTCGCTCCCTTTGATTTGTTTTAAAGACCGACACGCGGTGGGTAGGGTGAATACCGAATGTTCGGATCTCGGCGAATAGCAAGCAATCCGTCCACACTGCTCGGGATTCGCCGAATACCGCATGTTTGGAGTCGCCTTTTTCCAATACTACACCACCAGTATTACCGACCACCACGACCACGACCACCATCACCACCACGACCACCATCACCACCACGACCACAATCACCACCACGACCACCATCACAACCACGACCACCATCACCACGAGTCAGCGCTACCGCTGTCCTTTCCCTTTTTCCCCAACGTCTGCGTCGACGTTTGCGCCTTCGCCGCCGCCGCCGCCGCCGTCGTTTCTCTGTTTATCGATTGATGTCCTCGGGGAGGCAGCAGGATTCCGTCTCTGGGCTCTTCCGTCTCTCCTCGAACACCCTCCTGCGGCTTTTGCAGGGTGTTCGAGGCCTGACCACGGAGTTGGTCGGCTACACCTCAAAACTTCGAAACATGAAGCACCACAAACTCAAGACAAAGGTCTCTCCTGAAATGACTAAATGTTGAATCATAACTTGTATTTGCATAAAAAGGATGAGCCGAACGGAAGACCGCGATTGTTAAGACCAGTAGTGCTGTAGCGATCTCGGACTGAAGGATTGCGGGTTCGAATCCCGCTTCGGGCATGGTTATATTTGTGTCCGTCCTTTCACCCCCCTAGCATCACCATAGCACGTCATCTTAATAGTTGCCGTAACGTTAAATTCAATAAGTGATCGCTTATGACCTAGATGTTGATGCGACCTTAAATAACAAAAAATGATAAACTAGGGGTACTTGAATAGCACATGCTTTCTGGTAATATCTTTAACCATTACCTTATATTACGATAGTAGTTGAACCCGCGGAAACATTTTGCACATTTCCAGCTATGTACGGGGTCGGCATCGGGTTTCATGTGGTTCTCGCTGCATGCCTCTGCGTGTTTACCCAACCCTGCAAAAATATTTATTGTGATTGGTATTTGAATACGAGCGCGTATATATGCTGTATTAAAATCCAGCCGCGCTCATTATGTTATTTGGCACCATCTCATCGACAATAAGAATATCTTCAATTTTTTTAAATTCAAATATTGAAATAAAAATTATGGTTGTGCAATAAAATTCATTGTCTTGGTTTCTATAATTACAAAGAGTTTAAAACAAAAAAAATGGAACACTTTTTGAGCAAAATTGTTTGAAGTATTAGTGAAAATTGTCCTATCTACTCAAAATTAAGCAAAACTATTTATATTTACAAAAAATATGTTTATGATTTAAAGATCTAATATTGTAGATTATATTTCATTCAGAAAGAAGTTTTTAGTTTCAATAATAAAAGTTTAGGAAGTTTAGCTTCGAATTTGTTTTTTCGGAATGTCAGAAGTTTTAATTAAAATATGACATATATCGTATTTTAAGCGTTCTTTGCTGTATTTCAGCATTTAAAGAAAACGGTTTTATATATTTTGGGAACATTTTTTACTGACTTTATTCATGTGAAGTACTCGAAATTAAGACCCTCTTATGTTTTGAATTCTTAGAGACTGAAGTTCTGCCCGAACAATGAAGGAGTACGTACATTGGTGGAAATCCTGAGCATGGTTTAAGTGTTGGTGTAGTTCTCGGTTATACAGTGAGATGGACAGCCAGACAGAAGTACTGTTTGAAGAAAACAACTTTTTTTTCAGTGGTAACTCTGAAACGTCGAAAATTTTGAGATACATTTTCAGCATTTCTTCCCACTTTCTAGAATGCGTATTCGAGAAAGTTAAAAAACACTTATGTAACAACACATTAGAACAGATGCATTAATAAAATTTGTACTTAAAATTAATCAAAATATTTCCATACCTAATAAATAATTCTTGCAAACTCATATTTTGTACTTGAGTTTATAATATGACCATTCTCCCTATTCTTTCACTGAAAATCTGTTTATGTTGGAAACCTCGTACGCCTATGAATCTTTCTATAAATATATTTGGGGCTTTATATTTGCTGCAATCGGATAGGCCACGGCGGAAAAGCTGTGGGGTGGCGATTATAAAGGGAGGTGGCTCTCCAATGATTATGAGAGAGGCAGGACGTGTTTGGATGTGAAGAGACCCCGGCTAGAACATTACACGCAGCGATCGGCGGAGAACTGCATAGAAAGGAAAGCCAGGGTGTTGCGGAGGGAAGCGGGGCCACCCGGTCGGCGTGGATGGACCGTATCAGCTAACAGCGCAACGCGAGTCGATGGCCTTATCGGCGAGGATTCGGCGGAGCGGTGGTGGCCAGCGGGCGAGGAAACGAGAGGCGGGGCGAAGGGCTCTGGCGAACGGCTGGGCCGCCACCGACCGCAGCCTCGCTGGTCGCGAGCGCGGC